GCAGCAGGAGCACCAGAAGCAGAACCCACAGGAAGAGCCTGAGCAGCTGTTGGGCCTCCCCCTCCTGGCTGATGAGAAAGGGGCTCTGGTCGCAATTTCCACTGGCCTGGAGTCTGTGTGATCCCTGAGATGCTGTCCCAGGAGGGGCAGTGAGGAGCAGACTGTCCTCAGACCTCAGCCCAGTGATGGTGAGGGAGCCAGAGCTGTAAGACATGGAAGCAAAAAAGGGATCAGAGTCCCCAGAGAGACTCACATCATAATAGTTGTGGATTTGGGACCCCATATATGGGAGCTGTTGGTACTGGACACGTATACGACACTCCCGACGTGTCGGGACTCTCACTTAGCTAGACTGTGTTTTGCAGGCTTTTTCCCAACTCATGATGGACTCTTTCCACTGGCCATCCTGCCATGGTACCCAGAAATTTTTGCTCAATTTGAGAAAATGACAAAATCTGTGGATGCCAAGGACAGGGTTCAGGGACAAATGTAAAAGAATGTGAAATGAATTCACGGACACATTCCCTCAGATGGATCTCAGGGCCTAGGTTGTACCAAAGCAAGCAAGCAAGCAAGCAAGCAAGCAAGCAGTTGGCTTGGCCAGGAAATAGGGCTGAATGGGGAACCCCGTTGCTGTGGGGACAGCACGTCTCTGTTGCTTCCACACAGCCCGGGAGCACGGTGTGAGGATGGAGTCCACTGTCATAGGGCGGGCAGGAGTAATCAGCCTCGTCCTCAGCCTCAAGCCCAGCGATGGTCAGGGAGCCTCAGTTGCCAGACCTGGAGCCAGAGAATTGAATGGGGATCCCCAAAGATTGATTACTGTGAGCATAAAAGAGGAGATTGAGGGGCTGCTCCTCAGAGCTGTTGGCACTAAAGTGGTACTAAAGAGCATAACCCCTGGGGTTGGAGCTGCTTCCAGTGCAGGAGATGGTGACCCTCTGGTCCAGGGCCTCAGACACGGAGGGCGGCTGAGTCAGCAAAGACTGGGCCCAGGACCCTGCAAGGGGGAGAGACACAGAGAGGGTGATGCTGGGTTCTTCAGACAAGAGGAGGAGGCAGGGCCCCACAAGTCACCCCAGGGCCCCTTCCCCTCTCCCTGCATCCAGTCACCTGTGCAGTGAGCGAGGAGGCTGAGGAGGAGAGGGGACCAGGCCATGGTGGACGCCATCACCGATCCTGCCTTCTGTGGCCCCACAGATGTGCAGAGTCTCCCCTCATCTCTCCCTTCCCCTCTTCATCTTCTGAGAGCGGGAGGGCCCGGCCATGCAAAGGAGACCCCCGTTCTCTGACTCCTCCCTGCCCCTGGGTCATGTCCTTCTGCCTGTGGATGTCAAGGACATGGGCAGGGGAGGGGCTGTGTGGGGCCAGGGGGTGGGGAGGTCCCAACTGCCAGCTCTGAGCAGAGGGCACAGACAGGGCCAGGTGTCAGGACCCAGCTCTGATCACCAATGACTCCTCAGAAATGGGACCAGAGTGCCCCCTGGTGTCCGGACCCAGACACATCATTGTGTGACATGGTGACCAGGGCCCATCAGACCCATTTCTGCAACCCACCCCAACTGCTTTGTCCACTGCTCCTTGCTTTAGGGACTGACCAGGTGTTCCTATATATCACTTCCCCTTATGTCAGGACTCACTATTTGCCCTGCTAAGAGTCTTCAGAATGACTCTGTACATGGTTCCCTTCTCTGTTCCTGGGTCAGGACTGGGGTGGTGTCTCTACACAAACCCTTCTTAGACATCAGGTTCCAGAGTAGTGATGGGTCCCCATGGACACAGGGTCGCTTCTGTGCAGGAGGCTGGGACGTTCCTCGTATGTGCTTTCTCCCTGATTTCCAGAGCTTTCCTTCCTCTGAGGTTCCCACAGCACTGAGGAGACAGGGAATGATTCTCTCCAGATCGTGTCAAGAAGCCGTCCCGTGCATTTCTAGAGGGTCACACATGGAGCATCGTTGTCTCCTGCCACTGATTCAAACTGCTTGAAATAACACACAGGGCAGGGATTCCCTCCCCGGCTCCGTCCTCCCAGCACAGACACGAGTCTGCAGGAGCCCTGCCACGTGAGTCGTGTGGCCCTGACCTCAGAGCACAAAGGACAAATGTGCTGGACGTTCTAGGAAGAAAGGAGTGACAGCTTAGATGCTCTGACAAGGACCTAGTGACAGAGTTTATGTGTCAGTCACCACGGAGCCAACGTCATATTTCAGAAGAATGTGTGTTATTTTATACATAATTCCATTCAGTAAGATTGAATTAATGGAACAGGAATGCTGTCTTTTCTCAGGAGAATAGGGTTTTATATACTTTTTCTAAAATCACTTATTTGTACCATGTGTCTGGTCTCCCACGTCGGAAAGGTCAACGTGGTGCCCAGTGAAACCCCTTGAGGGGCCTGTTCCTATGAACTCAGACCATCCTGCTGACAAAATTGCCAAACACAGACAGAACTTCTAGGACAAAGGATTTGGGGTCAGACCACTCTCTGGGTTGGACACAGCTCTAGTCTCTGCAACTGTGTCCAGCACGTTCAGGATGGAAGCATTATTCATTCAGTGCCCAATGACTACAGGAATGGATTTTACTACCCAAAGCCTACTGGACACAGAAGTTTCTGTCAAATATCCCAAAGCTGAGGAGGGGAGAAGTGGAGATAAGGGGGAGTGTGTCCCTAGGGTCACATGCCCTGTGGCTCTGATTTGGGACAGAAGACTTTCCGTCAGAGTGCAGCCTGGCTGGAAGTGTCACTGGGCAGTGACTAAAGAGTGACAGCCCAACCCTGAGAACACAGGGAACATGTGTCACTTGTCCACAAGGGTTTTGAGTTCTGAGGCTGGGGTCCCAGAATCAACATACTGATCAGCCTCAGCCACTGACTGGATCCCACAGATGGTCTGGGGCTGAGCTGCCCGTGGGGACAGGGACTCCCCTCTGGGATTCCTGAGCTTCAGTCTCATCCCAGGAGAGCAGATGTTCAGAGCCCATCCTGGCCGCCCTGGGGACAGGACCCCAGTTACACAAGATGTCTCCAGTTTTCCTATGGAGGAACATTCTGCCTTCTGGAAATTGTGACCCTGAGGATGGCTGGGTGAGCACAGGATGACTCGAACTTCTGGAAGGACAGAGAAGCCTGGAATCCGCAGAGTCCCAGACACAGTATTCACTCAGAGGGAGGAGAGGGGTGAGGGGGTGTGTGTGTGTGTGTGTGTGTCCAAAACTGAGGCTACCTGAGCCCTGTCCCTCTTCTGACGTTGAAATACCCTGAGGGATGTTTCTCCAAGAGGATTCTGTTTATATACTTCCTGCATCCTGACCCTGCATTTAGAGGGAAGAATCTCAAAGATTTTTACTGGAAAAGGACTTATTTAGGCCAGGAGGGCTCATGTGAGAGCAAATCTGTTCACCATTCACTGAATCAGGAGTCCAGGTCCTGTTGAGTGACAAGAAATCTGTCAATTTTTTATCTCTGCAGACACAAGACCTACAACTGTGGGGTTTTCAGGTGTCTGGAAGCATAAGGTGGGGCGGGAGCATGCAGGCCCTCCTTCTTGCCCTGACATCCCAGCCAGAACCACAGGCCCCCGTGTCCCCAGGGGTCTACCAGAGAGTGAGAACAAGATATTGCTGATGGTTTTGTGCGTGTGTGAATAAACACTACAGCCCTGGGCTTTAAATCTCATAGAAAACCGGTTCTTGGTGAATCCTCTCCAGGGCATTGGAGCATAAGAAAAATAATGACATATCTTAAAATATGCAGGCCATCCTTTGTCTCTGGAGTCCTCTAAGACTCCCCATGGCATCAGTTAATTCTGAAGGGGAGAAAAATCAATAGACTCATGTGCAAATACCTAAAGGTAGATAAATACATCCTTTTCAGGAAATGTAATAACTTTATTTTCCTATTAAAGACAATGACTGGGGGAGACGTGGGGGGAAATGTGGATTGAGTGTCTGACTATTGGTTTGGCTCTGCTCCTAATCTCAGGGTCCTGAGGGGCACCCGGATGTCTCAGGCAGTTAAACTTCTGCCTTCGGCTCAGGTCATGATCTCAGGGTCCTGAGCGCTAACCCCGCATAGAGTTCCACACTGAGCACAGAGTCTGCTTAAAACTCTCTCTCTCCCTCTGCTTCTCCCTGCTGTGCCCTCTCATTCAAATAAATGAAGAACCTCTAAAATAAATAAAGAGACTGACTGAGAGTGTTGAGAACAGAAAAATGGAGCCTGAGTCAGAGAGCAGGAAGGACAATGTGGGGGGTTGCATGCTCCTATATTTTCTGGTCATTCTCCTGCCTAGTCATGGACATTGGAGACTGAAAATTACAGCAAGGTCATTTCCAGTTTTCTCTGAAATCCTGATGTGGAGACAGAGCTAAGACTGAAGAGCCAGAGGGAGAGACTGAAGCCTGAGGGACGCGAGAGCCAAGAGGAGAAGAGGAGAAGGGTGCGGGGGCTGTCGTCAGGGAGAGTCTGTAGGATCTGGTCCAAGGTCTCGTATAGCTCGTTCAGAGAGAGGAGACTGTGTCTGTGAGCAGGGTTATTGTCCATGTATCAGCTGTGGATACATCAATCATGACACAAGGTCACACTTTATGGAATAAGATGATAGAACGGATTGTGGAGGAATGTTTGCTGGGCAGTATGTTCAGCTGTAGACACAGAATTCATTCCTGTCCATCTTCTCCAGATTGAGTGGGGATGTGCGGTTGGGCTCGGATATCTCATGTGTCTGTGTCTTCCTCGGATGCCCCCATTTTATATCACTTTCTGAGCATTACATGACTCTTCCTCTTTCCCTGTTGAAGGATAGATCATCGTCCAGAAGAGACCACCTTGCTATGTCTCTCCAGGTAAGTTTCTTACTGAAAAGTGGCTCAGAAACAAGATCCGTGGGTCCAGAGGTTTTAGACCCACTTCCTCCATATCTGAGACGCTGTGAGGAGCGATACCTGCTCCCAGCGCCCTGAGCTGCAGCCCAGTGATAGTCCGCCTCGGTCTCAGCCTACAGCCCCGAGATGCGCAGAAGCCCTGCATTGGCCGAGGCGTCTTTGGAGCCCGAGAAGCGGCTGGGGACCCCAGAGCCCTGGTGCTTCTCGGAGCCTGAGGAGTAGGAAAGCAGACCCCGGGGAGGGCTCCCTGGCTGCTGCTGGATCCAATAGATGTTAGAGCCGCCAACACTGATGTCCCTGCTCAGGGTGCAGGTGAGTCGGTCTGTCATTCCCGGAGATGCCGAGAGGGAGGGCGGCTGGGTCCGCACGGGCTGGGACAGGGAGCCTGCAAACACAGACGTTAATGGGGCAAGAAATGGAGAAATTTATCAAGATGCTGACTTCAGGAAGAGTGACTTTGAGGCCTGCCCAGCTTCCCTGAGGCTGGACCTACCTGTACAATAGGAGAGGAGCGTGAGGAAGACAGGTGTCCAGGCCGTGGTGACACAGACACTGGACCCCACAGTGGGCCAGGCTGCCCCAGGCCTCCTTTTCTCCTCCACCCTCTGCCACAGGAGGGGCTCTCCATGCAAACGGGGTCCACCCAGTGACTGCCCAGCCCCTCCCTGAGCCCTGGTGCTGGGGCTCGGCTCACAGAAACACTGCGGAGGATGGGAGTGGCTTCAGCCCTGGGGAGAGCCCTGGGAGGATGCACCTGCTGAGACCACACATGGGTCCCTGCTCAGGGGACTCTGCAAGGCAACAGGGGACCCAGCTGCTGAGTCCCCATCAGAGAGCACAGGGCCAGTCCCCACTTCATTTCTCTTGAGTGAATGCTCCTCACTGAGCTGCTATGTAGACACCACAGGGCCGTCCCACGGCGCCCCCTGCTGGTCACGGGCGCAGCCGTCACTGTGTCCCAAAGCCCTGAGAGACCCCCTGATTTCTGCAGCTCACCACATCCCTGTGGATCCACACTTCCGTGGACCAAGTGTCAGTACAGGTTTCCCCTGCTGTCTGAAACTCCATCATCCCTAACAAACCTTAGTAAGCCACGATGGCATAAGGCAAGAAGCAATTAATATTATTTCGTATGCACAATTTTTTGCATGTTTCCAGGCTTAAAAAGAAATCAGTCCTAGGCTTCTCGGATACCCAAGGACACATTTTGCTGTCAGATGTAGCACACGAATGGCGATAAAGCGCATGTGATAACACACACCGTTCACAGCCACGGTGGCCTGTGGCTGAGCTGCTGGGTGTGACTCCTGGGGAAGCCGCTGGAAGGCGCCCGTCATGCTGGTTGGGTTGTGCACCGTCTCTGGAGAGGCTCCTGCAAAACTTATGCTGGATGTTAAGTTGGCGCTTATTTTTTTGTGAAACTGAAAATCCTCTTCAGATGGCTTTGAGCAGTAAAAGCAGCTACTAATGTAAATATTTCATAAAAGCAAAGAGGTATAAAGAGAACGTTCAAAAGTTCGGGATACCTATACTATGTTTCTTTCTTTTTTTTTTTTTTTAAAGATTTTATTTATTTATTTGACAAAGAGAGAGCAAAAGTAGGCAGAGGGAGAGGGAGAAGCAGGCTTCCCGCTGAGCAGGGAGCCGGACATGGGGCTCGATCCCAGGACCCCAGGATCATGACCTGAGCTGAAGTCAGCCGCTTAACTGACTGAGCCACCCAGGCGCCCCCCTATACTATGTTTCTGATCTTTGTGCCAGTTTACTGTAATTTCTCACTCCAGGGGGAGCTGTGGTCCATGCGAGGTGAAAATATGTGCATATACAATTACAGGGCTTTCTAGACAAAGCTGAATGACCCAGGTGCGCAGGGGGGCACGTGTGTCGCCGAGGAGGGGACAGTGGAGCTGCTTTGCAGAAATGGTAGGGGCTGTTTCTGGGAAAGGCATAGAAACAGAATTTTGGGGACGCCTGGGTGGCTTAGTCGGTTGAGGTCTGCCTTCAGCTCAGGTCATGAACCCAGGTCCCGGGATTGAGTCCCACATTGGCCTCCCTGTTCAACAAGGAGCCTGCTTCTCCCTCTGCCTGCTCCTTCCGTGCTTGTTCTCTCTCTCTCTCTTTCACAAATAAAATAAAATAAAATGTTTTGAAAAAATCCACTACCTGCATTTTTTACACTTTTTCTAGTTTAGTAGAAGTTAAATGTGAAATTGTAATGTTTCCAGAGGTGTTCAATGTCTGAGCAATGGCTTCCAGAATCCTTCCCTTCCTCGCTGCACCATGGGTCCAACTCAGCTTTCACTCCACACATGATTCCCACACTTCTAGACTCAAAGGCCCTTTGACTCTACTTCTGTGACTGGGATCAGCCACTTCCCTGAGACCCTGTGCTCAAGGCAGTGGGAGGGATCTTCCCCACTGAGCTCAGGAACGTCCTCAGGGCTGCCAGCAGAGACCCCAAACTCCTCCCTCCCCTAAGTATCCATCCTGACCTGGCCCCGCCCACCTTCCTGCTCCCAGTGCATCCCTTCCCCTTGCTCTCTGAACTCCAGCTTCTCTCTTTCCTATAACTCAAAACCCTGAATTCCCACCCCTTCCATGGTTTCCAAGCTGCCTCCTCCTCTGCTTAAAGGGCGAAATGTGCTACAACGTGAGTCATGCAGAAAACACGTATTTGGCAACTCTGAGTAGCTCCTTAGAGCAGGATACAGGCATATCATCACAGATAGGAAAAGACAATATATAGGCTCATTTGCAAGGTAAGCAAACTATAGACAATAGTGCAAACAACAGCCTGCATCCGTATCCAAACACAAGGTCATGAACATGACTCTTCTTGTGGACTCTCCCACTCCTCTTTGTCCCTCATCCTGCTCCCTTCCTGAATATGAAGCCGATCCAACCCCTCCATCATCAGCGCATGGTCTTCAGTGGTACAAGGACTTCATGAGCATTAGCGCATTACGTTCATGTTCAATGTTCCAAAAGTCTTGTGCATAAAAGCAATGGATTCCAACTACTCTCGCATAAATGTATTAGTGTTGTCATTTCCGATATTTCCAGAAAAGAGAGAAACTGAGTATCTGTAAGATTTCTGACCTCATGAAATTCTTAGTGAGCCTGGGATGGCACCAGGGGGTAGGTAGGGAATGGGCAGAGGGCCACGTGCTTCTCCCAGGTCACACATCCTGACTCATTGCCCTTCTTGTCATTGCGCCCCAGCAAGAGTGGGGACCACTTTGCTTCTGGAAACAAAGTAATTCTCTTGCACTTAGAGACCAATAACTGCAGAGGATATAATTTTTATTGAACTCATACATAGCCACAAAATCTAGAACATGAAGTGTTCTGATCTCAGTTGGCCGTGTAACTATAGAAACCATAATCTGAGCTGTGTTTGGTCCCAGACGGGAACATGGCAGTGATGAAGAAGACTGGAGCAGGGGTGGAGGGTGTAAGTTACCACCTTTGTCCATGGACAAGGAGCTCTTTGTGATGCTTGATTGTATTTAGCTCTAGAACAATGAGAATCAGGCTGTCCTTGGGGTGAAGCACAGAGGTGGTAAAGAAGTCAGGGCAGTTGGCCTGTCCCAGGCTTGTCTTATCCTCCCTACTGCTGCCAGGGAAATGAAAATGCTCTTTATGCAAATTTGCACCCGCTTCCAGACACTCTCAGCCCTCACTTGATTAGTGAGTCAGGAGCAGAGGTAGGACGTGAGGACAAAAGAGTCGAAGGGCAGATCCTTCTCTGAGTGGGACCCCGGAGGGAATGGATGGAACAGCCATGGGGACATGCACAGGACCCTGCCCAGGAGCCTCTGCCGGGCCCTGAGGGACCGGGCTGCTGGGTCTCACCAGGGAGCACAGCGGGCAGCTCAGCCTCTGCCCAGCCCTGAGCCCAGGGGGCTCCCCCAGTTGGGGGGGTCCTCCTGAAGGGCCCAGGGAGATGCACAGTGCCCCCTGCTGGTCACACAGCCCTCTCTGTGTCCTCAGTGTCCTGAGGTTAACATCCAGCGCTGTGTTACCAGCCTTCAACGATGACTTGAACAACTAAGTGTGTGAAGCACACATTTGGGACTGATTGAAAGAACATGATTTAGTGTCTATGATTTGAGAAGCTTCCAACATGAGGGAAAGGTCATCAAGAAATAAACACGCCTGCGAGTATGGGAATGTCTAGAAACAGAAGTCATACAAAAGAGCGAGATTATCCCACCCCCTGGACATTGAGGGAGCTCCTCCAAGGAAGGCTGAGACCTGCACAAAACATGACCTTCTGTCCTTGAAGGGAGAACGCTGGCTCCCACCATCTGCTGATTATTGACTTCATTGTTCAATTCCAGGCACGATTCAGACGCATCACATTACGGAGCCCCTCATCTGACGGGACACAGCTCTGTCAACTGGAGTAAGGGGCTCATGTGCAGTTTCCTTTTCCTTTTTCAAACCACCTGTTCGACCGGCCTCAGGTCCACACCTCGCTGCCCTCCCCCTTCGGGGCGGCAGGTTCATGCCTTCGTAGAGCAGCGCATGGGATGACGTCACACTGGGCCCTCCATCATGGACCCCAGATGCCTAGGTGACTCTCTGTGCCCGCACTAGGATGCTGTCGCTGTGCTTAGAGTCTAGTGAGCTGTGACAACACAGCCCCACAGTGTGGCCGCCCTCCCAGTGTCCTGTACGGGAGTGACTCCAGCATAAACACAGTCACTGGGCTTCACACACTCTCCCCCCTCCTCCCTCCTCCCCCTCCTGTCCTTCCCTGGCTTCTTCACCACCTCTAGATTCCTGCCTCCCCCAAAATGTGCCACAGCGACCAGTACAGAGAACGCGGCCTTTTAGATGCTCTTCGTTCCAAAGAAATGTGCATTTAAAATCCATGCATGTTTTTGGACTTGAGAGCGTATTTCCTTTAAATTTTGACTAATAGCCTACTCTTTGAATACACATCCTAATGGAGGACATGTTTGTGACCTCAAGCCTTGGTCATTTTATGAGAAGCTGGTAAAAAATCGGTGTGCAGGGTTTTAATTGCTCTCACGTGTCATTATGAATAAACTTTCCATAAACATTCACATGCGGGTTTTCCTCTAGAAGGCTTTTTTTTTTTTTTTTTTTTGGCTTTTCTAGTTCTGAGTTCGGCATTGTTTTATATATTCCACACAAACATCCAACACTCACCGAAACTGCCATCTGGTTAAGGCTAAACCAGTAATGAGGGCAGGTGACAAGGGAGCTGCCCTGTCCCTCTGCAGAGCAGGGGCGGTGCTGAGGGCCCATGCTGGCTTCGTGACCAGAGAGAGCTTCGGGTACTGAAAACTCAGACGATGATAAAAGAATGCACACTAGCCTAGAAGTACATTGTCCCAGCTCGTGAGGACAAGACTTTCTATTTCCTTCGCGGCCCTTTGTCTACAAATGGGCTGCTCTGAGGGACTCGGAGGACAGAAAGGAGAGAAGGAGCCACCATTCTCAGGCGGTGCCCCAGGAGGGACCTGGGTCCAGGGCATCAGCACAAGAATGAGGAGAATTACAGGGGGAGCCTAAGCAGGCAGCTGGGGTGCTCATTCACTTTGCAGGGGGTAAGTAGGTTTTTGTCTCACTTCCCCACAGGCCGGGAGCACTGTGTGAGCACTGAGACTGCTGTCGCCTGCTGAGCAGTAATAATCAGCCTCGTCCTCAGCCTGGAGCCCAGTGATGGTCAGGGTGCCTGAGTTGCCAGACCTGGAGCCAGAGAATCGATCCGGGACCCCTGAGGGTCGGTTGCTATTATAATAGATGACAGTTCTGGGGGCTTTTCCTGGGAGCTGTTGGTACCAGTTAACACCGTAACTACCCCCGATATTGGAGCTGCTTCCAGTGCAGGAGATGGTGACCCTCTGGCCCAGAGCCCCAGACACAGAGGGCGGCTGAGTCAGCACAGACTGGGCCCAGGACCCTGCAAGGGGGAGAGTCACAGAGAGGGTGATGCTGCAGTCTAGAGTCAAAAAGAGGAAGGAGGGCCCTTCATGTCCTCCCAGGGCCCCTTCCCCTGTCCCTGCATCCAGTCACCTGTGCAGTGAGCGAGGAGGCTGAGAAGGAGAGGGGACCAGGCCATGGTGGAGGTCATCACCGATCCTGCCTTCTGTGACCCCACAGCTGAGCAGAGCTTCCAATAATCTCTCCCTCCCCCTCTTCATCCTCTGCAAGAGGGAGGGCTTCTCCATGCAAATGAGACCCCTAGCTCTCTGAACCCTCCCTGGCCCAGTTTCAGTTCCCTGTGCCTGAGGATGTCGAGGGGGGGGGCAGGGTAGGGGCTGTGTGGGGGCAGGGGTGGAGAGGTCAGAGCTGTGAACCC